AAATAATAATTTCAGGAGGCCCCAAAATATATGTAATAGTTTGCATGTAATAGCCTGGATGCATAGAACCTTTTTATAGTGTGATTGAGGATCCTAAACTGAATGCCAGGAATCAGTACCTATTGAAGTATATACTTCATCTCAGCCAGTCTTTCACCCTTAAATTGATCCGTGTTCTCTTGTAAATTTGGCAGAATGTGCAGCTCTGGACTAAATATTGGCAGATATTATTGGCTCTGACCAGCTGAAATAAATCTCTCCTCACCACGGCCCAGCCACTCTGGCCTGCCACCTGCCTGAGTGTCCCTGTTAGCCTCAAGCCACTGCAGGGGCTCACAAGGACTCTCTTAGCCTGGTACCACCACCCTCAGCAGACAAGGAGACAGTCCTGTAAGAGGGAAAGGAGGAGGCAGTTTTGTGACTGGTAAATGGTAAAAAGGAAGCTACTGAGGATGTACAGCTCTGCTGTGGGGCTGGGGTGGGCACTGGAGAGAGGCACAAGTCCCTGCCCTGTGGATAGGGACTATGAGGGGCCAAGCACCCTCAGCACTAGGGTGTATGAGCTGCTGAGGTCTTGAGAGATAGAAGCTGCTGCTGATAACTCATCTGGCCAGGGCTTGTCACTGCTGGGCTTCCAGTGACCCCGTTGTGCTGCATCCCCTTACCCTGGGGAAAGGAGATATACAGCAGATTGCAGGCAAATGCCAGGAAAATGAGGAGAGGATATTTGACTCAGAGATAAGAGACTCCTGCTGAAAGGTGTGCCAGAACCAAAAACCCTGCTTTGCCTATGCCACGGAACAGGGCAAATCCTTACACAGGCAAACCTGCAATGGCAAACCTGCTCCAGTCCACTTGCAGGCATGCTGCAAGTAGCTCAAAAACCCTGTGCATTGTCACTCAGCATTGTAGGATAAGAAAAAGGGTCTTGCAGCCAACATTTTGTGGGTAAAGGCACATATAGGGGAAAGTTTCAGAATGGAAATTAGTCTGGGAGACAGTGATGGGACTGGATATGTCAAATGTAAGTGGATGTGCAAAAGATGGTCCTTCAGCCCCATTCACGCAGGTAACTGTGTCATGTCAGCAGCTGGTGCCACTTTTCCTTAGAAAGTGGAGGACAGAAAAAGGAGCCCAGAGAGTTGAAGTGCATGCAGATGCAGTTCGATGGTACAATGAAGCTGATGTTAAGAGCAAGCACCCAGGGAAGAGATGGTCCCATCTCATCCCACCCTTCTACATTCTCCCTGGTGCTGGCCTGCCTGTGTCCAGCCAAGACTGGGTGCTGGGGCAGTGGGCTGGCTCCCATTGACTCCCCATTTCCCAGTGTTGGATGTGGTGGTGTCTGCTGGTTTTGCTCCCTCAGATGACTCTTTGGTGTCAGGCACAGAACATCCCTGGCACAAGGCAGCAGGTGAGCTCACCAGGTGGCTCCAACAGGCTCCCTGTTGTCCATGCCACTGCCACTCTGCCATGGCACCTGATTTCAAGAGGGCTTGAGTACATAAATGTTAATGAAGATGAGTGTGAAAATGTTGATTCACCTGCACTGCTGGCTCAGGCTGCCATCCCTCAGTGCCTCTCCCTCCTCTGTACTCCAGAGCAGCAATTGGCAGCAAGGGAAGGTATTTACTTTGGTCCCAGCAGCTCCATGAGGCTGAGAGCACATTAATATTTGGGGCACTCCACAGTGGCAGCCAAGGCTGTTGACTTGTTTGAGCTTGTGATATCACTAAAGGGCAGTTCCTCTGTCTCACTCCACCCCCTCCCCTTTCCTGCATGTTTCAATAGTCTCTGTATAACCCCCACAAGAAAAATCTACTTGTTTTTCAGGTAGCCAGGGGCTGTTTGGCTACATGGGCCCCACCACGGGCCTGGAGAAGGTGCTGAGGGCACCACCCTTCCCAGGGGCAGTGCCGATTTAGGCAGCTATCTGGCATTGTTTCCCCTCAGCCTTGTTCTCACGGCTGCTCAGCTATGATAGCCAGTGTTTTCTCTCAAAGGCTCAGCCTTGCTCTCCTCTCCCATCATGAGCCACTCTGACTGGGCACCTCTCCTTCTCCAGTCTTGCAGCACCAGCCCGATGATAAACGTGATCAAATTCTGTATCCAGAGGGAAACAGGTTAGCAGGCACCTTCTCAGAGACAGACCCAAACCAACAGAGCCACAGAGCCCTCACAACACACAGCCAGCCTTTGCCTCCTAAATGTATACACTATGGGCTTTTCCACAAAGCACAGCAGCAGTTTTCTCTTTTCTCTCACCAGCTGCCCGGGTTGTGCTGAACACAACCTACACACTCCTTTAGAATCATGAAAATAAAATTGCTTGGATATGAAAGCAGGTACTGACTGGGCTGTCCTGCCTCGCGGTGTCGTAGCAATTACCAGCAGGTAGCTCTGAGCTTCCACTTTTCCCCAGCTGACAGCTAGGGTGCCAGGCAGACAGTTGTTCCCCCATCCCCTGGCTCATCAGCTTGCTCAGATGCCTTAGCAGCCTGCTTCTCTGGGTGGTGAAAGAGCAGCTCTTGTCTTACACCTTCTGAAATATTTCTCTTTGGTTTTTTAGGGGTGAGAGTGTGTTAGGGGTTGGGACCTTTCTGTCCTGATTTGTCTGTGGGGAGTGCATTGAGCCTGAGCAGGACTTGGATTGCAGGTGACAGAGATTTGGGCTCTTTTTGGTACTATACATGTGGTACCTGCTGGCCTGTGTTCCAGTGTTATATCTGGCAAGTCTACCAAGTTCCTTTTCCATTAAACATTTTTCTTTTGTTTCTGTTTCCTGTGTATGTTTCTCCTTTTCTCTGGCTTCCACAAAACTATGCTTGTCTAAGAAGTGTCAGTAATCTGTTATCTCTAACTACTTCCAACAGAGAACAAATCTAATAGGTCAAGTGGGGGCAAGACTTCGTTTTCTTTGTGTACCGCACTTCGTACCTCATCTCTGCTTCCTGTTTATTCCTGATGTAATGCCCTAGTCTGTAAGCCTCTCCTGTAAACAGGCTTGCTCAGCCTTGCAAGAGCTTTTTCCATGATATTTTGTTCTCTGTATTTGAAGAATCATTTGCTTTCAAAATAGATTGAGGTACTGCCAGGCTGAACAGACTTACTTCTTAGATAAATTTTTGGGTGAATATTGATAGACTGTGAAAAGTTGGCTGCAATGCAAAAAAAAAAATACAAATAAATTTATTTGGAGTACAAAAAGAAATGCTTTTTACTGACATAATGATCGTTGATATTTTTTTTGTTGCTCATTTTAACTATCACATGCCTATGGGAACTCAGCATGAGCAAAATATGTAGTGCCTAGATTATCTTAAACTGTGCCAGTAAGGACTCTTACATCTTATTGAAAGCAGCCTGCACTCAGTTATTTTGTCTTAAAATTGAATAGTTGCCTGTCTTTAAACTGACAGATCCACTCTTTGCAAAATAAGTGTGATTTTCAACTCAAACGCAAGCTACCACCCAAATTTACATCATTGTGACAAAGTCCTTTTGCAAAGAGTTCTTGGGTAAGATTCAGGTAGGGAAGTTGTAGTAATGGTTGTTCAGATGTTTCTTTCAATTAACTTTTAACTCAAATGAAGGTAGGTAAAGCAGCCAGTGTCTGTGCAGGTGTTGGAGGTCTCTGGGCAGTATGTGAGCACCTGCACCTTTTCCATCGGACCTGAGGCAGCTGCAGCCTTAGCTTTGGCTGCTCCCTGGCCTGGCTGGTTTGGGCATGATGTATCCAACAGTTTTATGGAGTTTGGCAAGGGTGAAGGTCTTAATGTCTTATTTTGGCTTTTCTCTGTGGGACAGAGATCAGGATTGATTTCTTCTGGTCCTCAGAGTAGGTGTTGGTGACAAATATAACCAACACAGAGGCGCTTATACTGTTGATGAACAAAAACAGCTGCTGGGGAAAAAAGGGAAAGTATATTTTTTTGTGCCCAGAAACAGGGATGTGGCTTTATAGAGTGATGCTGCCAGGACTTCATTTAAGGCTCTATGGGACCTGTACCTTCAGTCACAAGGGTCAGAAAGCATCAGTGCTGGCCAGGTTTATTTTAGGTTGACAGTGCCCGTGTAAATAATTGTCCTTTTGTAAGATGCTGAAGTTTTCTGTTTAATTTTTAGCACTACAACTCCCTTAAGCTTTGTTCTAGGCTTTCAGAAGTAACTGGCAGCTCATTAGCAGCCTTGTAATAGCACTGAAAACTATAGGAGGGAAGCTGCACAGGGTATCTGAAGCCCTAGGCTTTGCTGGGCAAAAGGCACTTGTTTCTAGGTATGTGCAGTTCTTGGTGTTTTTGTTTTACAAAGGAAAATGTGTTCTCTCTTCTATGGATGAGGTGGTGATATATTGGATCATTTTGATTGCATCACGTTGGCAGGGTGAGGGGAAAGGAGAATATTCATCTTGACCTCCCAGGGGCAACTCTGTGCCTGTTTTCCAATCTCCAATGCAAGTTGATAGCAAGTGCATGAAATAAAAATCACAATTTGGCTAGCTTTTCAAAACAACTATATAACCTTAAAGAAAATAAGCATGGAGCACAAGTCCCATGAGAAGCAGCTAAAGGAAGCCGGGTTTTTCAGCCTGGAGAGGCCTGAGGGAGGACCTTATTACTCTAGAAGTACCTGAAATAAGGTTGTGGCCAGGTGGGGGTTGGGCTCTTCTCCCAGGTAATAAGCAACAGGACAAGAGGAAACAGCCTCAGATTGCTTCAGGGGAGGTTTACTTTGGATGTTAGGAAAAATGTCTTCACTGAAAGGGTGGCTAAGCATTGGAACAGGCTGCCCAGGGAATTGGTGGATTCACTATTCCTGGAATTCTTGAAAAAACATGCAGCTACGGTGTTTAGGGACATGGTTTAGTGATGGGTTGGCAATGCTGGGTTGATGACTGGATTCAGTGAGCTGAGGGGTGTTTTCAAACCCTGATGATTCTGTGTGTGGGCTGTTGCTGCGGTAGGTGTTGGCACTAAAAGCTTTGTTTGTGCCCCTTGCAGGCCTGGCGGAAGCGCTGGTTCGTGCTGCGCAGGGGCCGCATGAGTGGGAACCCGGACGTGCTGGAATACTACAGGAATAACCACTCCAAAAAGCCCATCCGCATCATAGACCTCAATGAATGTGAAGTGCTGAAGCACTCAGGACCTAATTTCATCAAGAAGGAATTTCAGAACAACTTTGTGTTCATTGTGAGAACCACCTACCGCACCTTCTACCTGGTAGCCAAGACTGAGGAGGAGATGCAGATCTGGGTGCACAATATCAGCCAGATCTGTAACTTTGGACATCTAGAAGATGGCAGAGGTAGGATCATGCTCATCTTGGATGCTGGGAGAATGCCCAGGGGTGACAGGAGGTATGGACCTTGCTGTCAGGCTGGGCTGGGCAGGTAGAAGAGGACTGTTGTTCCTGTATCTCCATACAGCACTGAGATGATACTAAACCCTGATCTGAAAGTTCTCAGGGACCTCACTGCTGCTGGGAGGAAATACTCATTGGCTGCTTGATCTCACTTTGATGAAGCAATTCCTGCTGGAGCAAACAGCAGGTCGTTAAGAAAAGGTGTTGTTTATGTGAAAAGCTGACTATTATCTTCTGGGGCCATTTATTTCGTTACATGTCCTCTATTTATTTAGTTAAACTTTAATGTAATGCACCTGCTCCAGGAAAGCATCCTGTATAACTCCCATTTTCTCAGGCTTTGCTGGATGTGGAATGTGCACAGACTTGGGTGTATATGTGTGTACATAGATCAGTGACAGAAATAATAAGCTGCCTTAGTCTGTTAATAAGAGAAATTAAAGAAAAGGCAGAGGATAAGAGAGAGTCCTGCCAGTGAAGCATAAAGGCAGCTCTTTTGCCAGGCCCTACACCTGTATATACTCCATAGAGTGAATTTCTTGAAAATCTGCCAAGAATTAACCACTCCAAGATGGATGTAGCTAGTAATTAAAGTGGGGACCTGTACCATCATTAACTTACCTTTTAAATTATAATGGCAATCTGTCTTTCCCTTGACAATTCCAAGTGGCAGATACAGCAGCAATTTGAGAGTTTCAGAGGAAGTGAGTCAGAATGAAGCCTTTCAATGTGATAAAAAGGCAGTGCAAGAGTAGAAAAGGGGGGCGAATGGAGGGGCATGAGCCCCAGGGCAGTACTGTGTTTGGGAGTATGGTAGTGTGGCCACACAGTTTATCCTTCCATGGTCTTTGTGCTGCTGGTGTCTGCAAGTGCTGCATGTCCGCACCATTACCAAGAAACTTGATAGGAAACAAAAGGCCATGGGAAAGGTTTTATTTTAATCTATCATGGTTCCTGGCATTACTTAGCTGCCTTTTGAGTAGTGTCTTCTGAGGGAAATGGGAGTGGCGAGAACACTGCAGTGATCCTGTTACCAATGTGATGTCTGTTCTTTTCCCATTCACTTCAGAAACTACCATGAAAACTTGCTGACAGATTGTGTCAGTACAAGCTGCCCATGAATACAAATTTCAAAGTCGGGCTGGTAGGGATTGGAGTCTACTGCCCTTTGGAGCTTGGATGGCATTAGGGCTATTCAGCAACCACCTTCCTGCTGTTCTGCCTTTGTTGACACTGAGTAGTTGCTCTTGGGTTGTTATTTCTGGTGCAGGATTATTTTAGATATAGTTTTACCAATTACTCTGAAATTAAGGTAAACTATTCTATGCAAAAGAGAAAAATAATTTTCATCTCTCAAACATGTAGGCAGCCTTCTCCTGGCACTGTGTGAGGATGTTCACAGGGGATGTGATCTGTGGCATTTATATCTGATGCATTTATACTGGGAAATGCCTTCTCTGTTTTGCTGGTGCAGGGCACTATTGCTTTTAAGACTTGCATATGGACAATACTTAGAGTATTGCACGTTGGGGTTTCTCTCCCAGCAAAGATCGCCTGTGTGGGCAGTGATGGATGAGAAATGACAGCTCTTGCAGCAGCAGTTGGGAAAGCTGACACTCCAGCTTTCCAAGGTGGATATTACCACCCAAGAAGTTCAGCAGTGCTGATCACTTGCCTTGGTTCAGTACCAAGTCTGGCACCTGAACTTGTAGCACTCATCAAGGGTGGTGTGAGCTAATCCTCCAGACATGCACTTACTGTGTCTCTAATGCCAAATAGCTCCTAAGAGCTTCCATTTATCCTGCAGCTCCTGCCAATGAGCTCAGGTCTGGGGTGTGTCCAGGTCAGGCTGCCAAGCACATCCAGATCCTCTGATTTAAAACTGCATAGCTCCAGAAGTTGCACATCACATTTCAAACTGTTGCTAATTGCTTCAGCTTTTCAGGATCTCCTAAATTCTCCAAGGGCCTGTAGGTTTAAACAAATTACCCTTAAAAACTAACATTTGAAGAGAAAAGCCCTATTAAATGCCACATACTTTTTAAACTTGAATGCTACTGTTTTAAAAAAATACTAGTCCCTGCTATGAATCATATCACTCTTAATCTGTGCATCACTGAAAATTTGCTGTGGCTGATGCCAAAGACAATCTGCTGCTTTCTCTGCTTAGTGCCAAAAGTGTAGCCACAGGTTTATGCAGTGACTTAGCTTTAAGCACTGTCCTGTGGTTCCCAGTTAGTCCCTTCCAGCAGCAAAGAAGCTGGATGGACATCCAGGTCCCCACACCAGAGGTGCTGGCAGCCAGATGAGGAGCAAAGTTATGAAAGCCATGGCTCCTGTGAGCACAGCTCTGTAGCCAACAAGAAAGAGGACAGCTGAGAGGCAGAGATGACATGGCAGCTCCAGGCAGATGTCAGGAAGCACCTGGGAGGGCGGCTGCCAGGAAGGATTTGCCAGCAGCACTCAGACACTGCTGCCACGAGAAAGTGACGCTGGCTGTGCTGGAAATGACAGGGGAGCTGGCACCTTTGGGGACTCAGCTGGAGGAGAGAGGAAGAGGCCTTGTTCCTGGTTTTCCTAACCTATCTAAGCAAAATCCTGCTTCCATCTTTGGTGAAATCTCCCAATAGAGCCATCGTTCCCCAGCCCCATGGGACCCACAGACCTACAGGGGATTGAGAGGATGCTTGGCTCAAGTGTCTGGAGCAGGGGAGGGGATGAAATGAAGTGGCTGTGGGACATCAGGGACACAGTTTATCCCATGTGCAAATTGAAGCCGTGACTAATCGACACAGTCCAATGTAACAGCTTTTCACTGGAGAAACTAGTGGGAAGGTTATTTAACCAGTTTCATTAGGAAGCCTTACTGTCATTATTTCTACCTCCTTGGTATGTCAATGCACCTTCAGGGGTGGTTGATGTGAGAAGAACACCCCTATTCCACCATGTCCCTGCGCTGCTGTTGTACCATAACAATTCTTGGGGAGGGGGCTGGCGTCTGTAGCAGAAGGGGAAAACCCTTTGTTTCTCCAAGCAATGGCCCTTAATTGATGGGAGAAGTCACTGTGGAAGATGCTGTGCAGCCTCTGTGGTGACTTTCTCCATAATTGCAGGGCAGAAATGTTTTGTGTTAGTACCCACCAAAGGAGTTATTTTGGCAACTCAAGCCTTCTGCTGTCTCTCTGGCAAAGGGGATGGCAGGCACCGAACCTATTCTTTGCCTTCTCACTGTTGAAAGTAGCCATGCATAATTTATTCCGCCCAGCTGCTGTTGTGGTAAATTTAATGCACGTGATTTTGTTACCAGCAGAGCTGGCAGGGACAGGAACAGTCTGTGAGGAGCTGGCTGCAGGTCCCTGAGCCCCTGAAGGTCAGAAAGGGCAAGTCTGCACTGTCCCCATCCCTCCCTCCTGCTCACAGCCGTTGCCATGTGGTCTGCAGCTCATAGCCTTTCCTGATGGGATAATCCATGGCTAAACCCTGTGAGTACCAGATGGAGTTCAGGCCTGTTTGTTCTCTGTGTTAATAACCCAGAATGTCATTAATTTCTTTCTTATATATTGTGGCAGTTTTAGTTGTTGGTTTGTTGGAGTTTTTTTTTTATGTAGTCAGATGGTGAAGTGTTTTTCTGAGATCCCTAGGGAGTTAGCCCAGTATATATTTGATCATTGTCAACTTGCAAGACAGCTCTTAGAGTCCAAGATTTAAAAGCAGAATTACTGTCTGATGATGAACATGATGAACAAAAGTTACTTTTCAGATGGGAAGGCTGCAGCCCTCAGCTCTACTTTGTAAATGTGACACCCTGTAAAAGCCATTCCTTCCAGATGATCACTGATAAAACCCTGCTGCTATAAGCACCAGTTCAAAATTAAAGCAAATCCTTTACTTACATTTGAATTTAAGCATGTTCTTATATGCTTTGCTGGTCTGAGGTCAACCACAGCCAAGATCTCTGAAGCCAACTGGAGGAAGCAGCAGGGAGTCAATACTGGTAGATGGGAAGGAAAGAGGCAGCTCCCTCCCAGGTTGAAAGGGATGAGATAAAGGATAGTGAGGGGAGGGGAAGATCAGCTGTTTTATTATTCTGCTGCTATCAGAAAGATGAGGGCTGAAGCCTGCTCTGGCTGACATGGGACCCTGGATCACGGGAATCATAGACTATCCTCAGTTGGAAGGGACCTGCAAGGATCATCAAGCCGAACTCCTGGCCCTGTACAGGGTGCCCCCAAGAATTGCACCATGTGCCTGAAAGTTTGTGTTTAGTGATGTTGCTGTCTATCCACTCAAGTTTTGGCAGCCCTTTTCATCCCTCCTGGTCTGCTTGTATATATACCCAGCACCTCCCAGGGTTGAGAGGTGACTACAACAACCTGGTACAGTGCCAAGCCTTGTGGCTCTGTTGAGGTTGGACTAGACTGGACCTGCTGGAGGGTCTCAGGACCTCATCACACAGTGCAGGATCTGGGCCACAGGATGCATGCAGAGGTCAGGGTCTGGTTTCCAGCACTTCCGTCAAGTTCTGGATATCAGCATTAGAGAAATCTGCCATTCTGCTGCACTTTGAAGACCTGTTAATTCTCAGTGTGGGTTTATCGGCAGTTGCTGGTTTCTTGAGTTTGTTTTTGCTGTGGGGTTTTTCATTTTGGAGAAGAGTTTTGCAACTTTGATTCAGGCAGTGTCTGAGCCAGAGAGATGGGCATCCACTGCTAAGTCTTGCAGGTGTCAAGGACCCAGTGAGCACTGCCCCATCCCCACACAGATCTGGTGAAGGAACTGCCATGCAGCAACCTGAAATTTCATTAGAAAAATCATATTCCCTGACTGAGGACTTGTGCTCTTGGTGCCACTGTTTGAGCTTGCTGCCAGGAGCAGATGTTTTTGGAGAGCTGTTCTGTAAAGACATCCTTCCCATTCCACAGCTACCCATTGTGGGAGGTCTGGCTAGCACTTGAGTTTTTTGAGTTGAAATGCCCCAGAAGCTTTGTTTTGCTTGACTCTGTGTGGCTCATCCATCACTCCTTCTTCTCTTCTGTCCTAGCTCTCTAGCAGGGACAGAGGTTGGAAGAGGAATAGAACCAGACTTGTCTGCTGCCTGGCAGTGCTCAGGCCAGATGGGCCTGAGTGTCTCAGCCACACGCTGCTACTGAAGGGTGGCCTTGTGGTGTGAGCAGGCAGCCAACTCTGGGGCAGCCCCACTGCCTGCAGTCCAGATCCCCTCCTGTCCCACTGCCATCCCACTCTGGGTTGGGGACATTGAAGTGTTATGCCCAGAGAAGGTGTCACTGAGCTCAGGCTCCCCATGCCTTGTGGCGTCCAGAAAAGTAGTGTCACTTTTCTCAGCAGAAAGCCTCCAGCTGGGCAGTAACAGCCACAGCACTGCTCTTGTGGTTTTGTCCAGCCGCGAGAGGCATAAAAAGCTTGCAGACAAGTTCAGAGCTTGTCTGGCTACTCCACAAGCTGGAAAGCTGTTTTGTCTACTGAGATCTAGAAAGTGGCAAGAAATCAATTCCTTTCCTTGTCGCCATTAATTTGACGTTTTGGAGATGAATAATTAATTATTTGCATTAGATACTAAAAAAAACAAAACAGCTCTTTCTTCAGCAGAGTCTGTTCTTCATTGCTGGCTGCAGGAGGGATGCCTCTGCTCTGCAGGAGAGGGGGACCGCAGAGCAAGGGGTCTGCACTTCCTGTAGCCTGGAAGACTTTGACAGCCTGGGCAGGAGGAGCAAAATCAGGCTCCTCTCTACCCAGAACCAGTGTTTGCCTTGATTCACTGCTGCTCTGGTGTAAGACATCCCTGGTGCAAAAGCAAGGTGGTGACAGCCAGGACAGTCAGGGGGTGAGAGCCGTTCCTCAGCCGTGCCATCCATTGCAGGTTCTGTGGAGAGCCTGTCTCACACGACCTCATCCCCTCAGCCCTCACCGGCTGCCTCCACCCACGCCTCCCACATCGCTGACCCTTCCTTCTCAGTCAACCACACTGCTGATGCTGCCACAGAGGAGACCCCCAGCGAGTCCGAGTCAGTCTTCCTCCCTGACTACCTCTTCCTATCCAACTGTGAGTCGGGCAAGCTCAACCACAACAGGTGAGTCTCGGGTCTGCCAGATGTGTCAGGCTGGAGCTCTGCTCTGCCTGTCCAGGTATGAAACTGGGGCACATAGTTCCAGGGAGCCCTGCCACTCAGTGCTGGCTCCCAAACACAACCGGGGATCACCAGCCTAATCCAATTTACAGGGTGCTTTTCATAGCACAGATCAGTGGTTGAGCATCATATGTTGGTCCTGTCCCGTTCCAAAGTGGGTGGCTGAGGATCTGACACACAGCCTCCCTTCAGACACCTGCTGTTGCTTAAGGTGCTCCACAAAGTTCCCCAACCTTTGGTCCAGCTCAGAGGGAAGGGACAGATCTTGTCCCAAACTGTGTGGTTGGGGTTTTTTGTTTTCTATGTTCTTACAGCCAGGAGAAAAGGAAAGCGCAGGTCCTGACCTCTGTCTCCTTGCAGGTGTGACAGCTGGTCAAATTCAGACAGATCTCTGGAGCAAACATCATCAGATGAGGTTTTTGTTGACTCATTGCAATCCCAGCCCTCCTTGTACCTTGTACAGCCAACCAGTGCTGGCACTGTGCACCAGGTTGGAGCCCCAGTGGCAAATCCCAGCATTGTCTCCAGGAACATAGACATTGGTAGGCCATCCAGTGACTTTTCCTCCTCTTCTCCACTGCTGGGGACACCGCTAACACCAACGTTTCAGATTGACAAGAGCCAAAACTCACTGCCCTATGGTGTAACGCAGCTGGATGTGCTGTCCAACACTCCCCCACCACGGCCGCCCAAGCCAACCCACTTTTCAGACAGGAGAGGAGATGACATGGCCCTCCAGAATGGGCATGCAGGGATCTACCAGGCTCAGGTTGCTCTGGTTCCCAGAAGGATCTCCTTGTCCAGCTTGGACAACGTGAGGAACTGGAAAGGTGAGTGCATTTCCAAGAGCCAGGAAAGCAGCACCAATGGGAGGGGTGGAGCTGCCCACACATACAGAGCGGTTTTGACTTCCTGTTGTGCTTCTCTATCCTCCCCTCTGAAATCTTACACTACCCAGTGTAACACAAAATGCTGCTTTCAAATGAATTAGCAAACAGGATTCAGGCCTGCCCCTTTGGTTCAGCTCCTGCTGTGTAGAAGCCTCTCAGTATGTGTACAGATGGGCAGCAATTTGATTCTTCCAAGGTGCCTTATGCCTTGTTAATTTCCCCCCTCCCTCTTCGGAAGAGAAAGCAGTAGAAAAACCAAAATGAGAAGTCAGTCATCGAATTAGGCAATGCCAAACTCTCTATACAGGTCAAAGTGTGGACTTGCATGTGGGAATTGCCTCTGGAGCTGTGGTGCTTTGCTACACCTAGTCTGTTGTATGAGAGCAGTGTGTCTTTTCACAGCTTAAAGACCAGGAAGTCAGAGAGACACTGACTTCCCACAGGGGATGGGATGTAATCCTGGTTGAACCAGGGGCTCTGCATGTCCTTGAACAAATTCCACTCTGTCCTTGCACTTCTGTCAGGGAAGTCTGAAAACCTGCTGCTGCAGAGCAAGGCAAGGCTGCAAAGCAAATTCTACTCTGAGCTGAGCTGGCTTTTCCACTTGCTCCTGAAACACCATCATCACAAATAAGAGCAACAGTCAAAACCCAGAACATCATGGTGTCAAAAAGCAGCATATGCAGTATGAGAAACCTGTATTACATGGAGCCACAGAGCAGAGGGAGGCAGCTGGAAAAACTGGCTGGAAATCATCAAGTATATTGTAGTGATGTGAAAACCTTCATTTTTTATGAAGAAAAAAGTGTAGGTTTTTAAGGGTAAGCATCCTTTCGACTCTTACGGTTTGAATGACCAGACCGTGTGTGGTGCTGTTAGATCTTGCTCTTAAAGCAGAAGCTAAAGCAAGGAGATCTCTGCTCAGACTATTTATCAGTGTACAGACAGTGTACAGAAGGTTTTTGGAGAAACACCCATCAGTGGAATTGGCATTCTTAATTATCAGCTACATTTGATTGTTCCCTGAGAGGTGCTGCTCTTGCTTCTGCACATGTGTGGCTTCAATGCAGCAGGTTTATGATCCTCCAACCCAATTTACACCAAAATGTCTCTAAGATGATTAAGTGGCCAAATGTCATGTTGTGCTGCATGGTTGTGTCTGCCTGATGGGGGCAGCAATGAATTAATAAGTGTTGCTACTTTTTCCTACCCTAAGTGTAGCTGAAACCATTTGAAGGGTTAAACTCTGAATTAAAATGTGTTTAACAGGAAAGATCAGAAAAATAAACAGGGAGAAAGCAGCAGTTCCTCACCAGCTTCCCCAGCGACTGCATTCAAGTTATAGACTTAATGTTTTGCCCTTGCTAACCTGCAAAAGGTGCACAGATGTAATTAGCCCAGGGCAAAAGCAGCATGAGCTGGTGGAAGTGCCATGAAGGAAGATGAGCTGTAAGATACCTCTATCCTGGCATCTGCCACAGCCTCGTGCCTCAATGTCTTTTTGCCATAAGAAATAAATGTAGCTATCCCAGGACAGTGACTGTGTCTATCCAAATATGTATCTGCACTAACAGAATTGCTTTGCTGTTGTTTAGCCATTTTTGCTGATACCTCCAAAAATGCCCCCAATTGCAGTACTCACATCTCCACCATAAGAGTGGGAAATAGATAAACATGGCTGCAGGGATTTAAGGCATTCCCACAGAAAAGCCATTTTTTGCACAGAAAATCCCCTTTCAGAAAAGGATGGTGGTTGTAAGCATCTCTCACAGCTGATCTTCTATGTGCTGAATGCTGGATTCTAGCCATTTTTGGGTTTTCCTTGGAAAATAAAATTGACTTATACCAAGACAAAGGCCCACCAGCACAAGGAGACATGGAGACTTGTGATTGTCTCCAGCTGTTCATGCTCCATCCCCTTGAGCCACTTGCACCACATCAGCACTTCTGGATGACAAAGCAAAGAATTTTTCTCCTACCATTAAGTTCTCCCATGCACCACCTTCTGTACAATGACGAGTGCTTTGCTGGCATCTTAAAAGGCTTCTAAATAAATTTCCAAGAAATAATATTATCTATAATCGCCCCTTTTCATGTAATTTCTGCAGTTTGACAGATAGGCAAACAGAGAACAACTAGAGAAGGAGCTGCATTTAAATTCTTGCTTGCTTGCTCCCACAACAGTCTTTTTTCCCCAATTGCTAGTGTTACAGGAAGCAAAAGTTACAGTTGCATTATACGTGAACAGGTCCCTTGGTTTTATCATACTTAAAATAGATGTAATTGCTCTTGAAGTGCTGCTGAGTTAGATCTGGTATTATGTGTCATTGTATTTCCTCATTTAGGAGTTACAGAATCATTATAAAACCCTATTTTAGAGCTATGTTTTACTCCAGAATTATCTCTGTAAGGTTGCACTGCCTTATCCCATTTTTAATCACTTTTTTTCCCTTGCAGCAGACATGGAAGGCAGTTCCCTAAGAAGTCGAGACAAGAGGCTTAGCTTGAATTTGGTAAGTACTCTGTTTGCACAAATTTAAAACATTGGCACATAAACTTCAGAGTGAATCATTTTACACCCTGATATTCTCCTCTGTTCAGCAGAAGAATTTTAGAAATTGAAAAATTGCCTGGCTTTGGACAACTTCTGTGCTGGCTGCTTTGTGGCCTCAGGCAGCCTTTGAGAGAAGAGGGAGGTTGAGGTCTCAATACTGAGCACCCTGTTTTTAAAGAAGATGAAGCTGAGTCTGTTATGAAAAAGGTTATCAGCAGTCTCGAGAATTAAACTGTTGACCAAGAGCTCAGCCAGAGCAAATGGCTTATTCCCTGGAAAAAGGGTCTGAAGAAGCCTATCACTTCGTGGTCCTGAGGGATATCTCTTCTTTAGGACATTGTAAAATGTCTGCTCTCAAAGTGTCTGTGATTGAAGGCTCTATCAGTCCACAGCTTCCTGCCTCAGCCTTTGACAGACACGGTTCTAAGCAACACTATCTCACACCACATAGGCAGTCTTCTGCCTGGTACTGAATGTTATCTTCTGTGGGACAGCCTTTGGTGGTGGTGGGCAAGTTATATTTTTCTCCTTTTTGAAAGCTTCCAAGGATTGTAATTGTTCCCTCTCATCACTCAGCTGGCACTAACCTGCATGAAGTGATTTTTCTAATACTAATTCTCAGCGATCAGAACTGAGTTGTAGATCTGTGTCAGCTTTCTCAGCTTCCACATTTGCCAAAGTCTAGCTCATCAGGTGTTCTCCTTTCAGACTTTTTTGTATTCAGGATCCTCCCACATTTTATAGGTGAGAATTACTGCTGTGAGAGGCAAGTACAGCATCACCGAAGCTGGAGGATTTAACCAATAAAGTCACCAATCAGTTTGGTTCTAGTTTCCACCAGTGACTTGCGAATCTCAGAGTGGACTGCTCCAGAGCTGGAGTGTTCATCTGAACTTATGTGTTTTGTCGCTCTGTCTTGTGCCTCTCTGAAAGGCCCCATCAGAACAATCCTGGCCTGGACTCAGTCCAGGTGTGTTCCCACCTCACAGCAGCTCCCAGCTGGGAGGCGGCTGGCTGTGCATTAATTGAGCTGTTTCCCTTTCTGCTTCTCCTTTGCTTGTGCAGCCATGCAGATTCTCGCCGCTGTACTCGACGGCTGCGGACAGCACGGAGGACAGCTACGTGCCCATGCGCCCCAGCACCTCTCCCTCTGTGCCTGGCTCCGACTGTTCTCCTGATGGCTACATCCCCATGAGCCCTGGCTCGGCCACCTTCACCTTCCCTGTCATCAGCACTGAAAAGCTCACCAGCCCGTTGCCTGAACTTCCCTCCGACGTGGAGCCCCCCCCAGTGAACCGAGACCTCAAGCCTCGTAGGAAGTGTGAGCCCAGACCTAAAGTGCAAAGCCTGGGGGTTCTAATGGTGGGGACATGGGTCACCTCCTTTGATAGTGTCCTTGGCATGTCTTAAAGCAATTCTTCTTCTGGACGATGGGTTGATAAGCTGTTTGAGTGACTTACAGCACTGTAACCTAGGCTGTGCTTGTAGGGTGGTTGGTGAGTGGAGGAAGAGCTTCCATGGCTGCTTTTGCAGTCAAAGCCCAGGTGGCTCCATAAGCACAATGCCTGGCTTTTCCACCGTGACTGCAAACAGCCAAAGGGACATAGCCTGGGAGAGACAGCTGACTGAGTCTTGCCACTCTGAAGTACACATACTCTGTCTTACCAGGTTTCTGGCCGGCCAGAAATGGGACATCCAAACTCAAGTACTCAAACTTGATGTGTTGGCTGTCGGTTAAACCTCTGTTGGGTAGGCATTGCTGTCTTAGCTTAATTAGGAATTTTCTGCAGATGCTTTTTCTGATGGTAGTTTTCCACTCCTGGTTTTCATGGCATGTCCAAAATCTGGGTTGCACTTCTAGAGAATATACTGGGGACAAAATTCAACTTTGAAGTGGAGAAATTGCCTAAACCTAGCCTAAAATAAAGCCCTTAAGGTTGCAGAGCCACAGGATTACTCAGAAATTGGTTCAGGCAGTGCTACTGTAAAGTGGGGACAGACATTTAGACCATTGCCATGAAGAAAAACAAACTTATATCCTTTCTTGAAGGGTTTTGAGAATGGTGGACACATGTACATGGAGTGGTAAGAGGAATGATCCTGATCTCCATGTACAGGACCTTTTTGTTTAGAACAGAATCCAAAACCTGTTATAACCTGTAGGCTGAACCAACCTCTCCAAGGCAGCATATACAGAGCATATTTGGGGCAAGCCTATATTTATCTTGTGTGACTTTTGGTCTCTTTATGCCCACTATGTTTATTCTGTTATTTTAGAGTGACTGGGGGACTTTGCTTTCCAGTACTGACCGAAGAGGTCATTTGTTACTGATTTCTGTCTTAGTTATGTTCTGTGAAATACTCTGTTAGTTTCTTTCTGTTAATACAAAACTGCATTTTTCTAAACAGTCTGTACTTTTCATTGAAAACATAGTTCCTTTTGTATTTACTTACAGCACGACCACCTCCTCTGGACTTGAGGAACCTCTCCACAATCCGGGAGCATGCTGCCGTGACCAGGATGTGGACTGTGCCTTAGTAAGTCAACAAGAAACTGCCATTCTAATCTTCTGAGCATTAGCATGAAATAGAGTTAAAAATAACTTATCCCATTCCACAAGAAAGATTCCTGGCAAGTCCACAAACAAAAGTTCCCCAAGGTTCCTTTCAGTATCTGCCAGGCTTTTGCTGTCTCTAAAAAGCAGGGCTCCCTTTCACAATGGGCAGCTCCAGAGAATTTAGTGTTATAATTTAAAGGTTCCTTTTAAACAGCCTGGAGCTGGTCTGCACTCTGGTGTGGCTGCTATGATGGCTAAAAGCTTGGCATGCCTAAACTATGATAGAGACATTTTTGCTCCTGGAAATTAATATAGCAAAGGAGAACCAGATCTGATAAAGAAGTGCCTGAACTGTAGACTGCGTGTAGAATTCTGCACTGCCACACAGCAATCCAGACTTGAACTTTTGGCATGATCTTTTGTTGCTAGAAATTAGTTGTTGGTAAAATAAATGCTTTTGATCCCAAAGTCCAGGTAGTATGAACAGATGACACTGTTGGGCTCCAAGGGCAGCAGAAGACTCATCTTCAGGGAGCTTTTGTGCAGGGGAAGACTTCAGCTTGCTGGCTGGGGGAGTCTTGGCACAAAAAAAGAAAAAGCTGCTGTGCTGAAGAATGCATGCAAAAGCTAGAAATTTCCATCAACCTCCTCTGCACATCCCAGGCACTCCAGAAAATGCAGAGTTTTGCTGGTATGAGTGCCAGACAGGGCATTTCCACTCCCCCATTTCAGGTTATCATGTGAAGGGCAAAAGAAACACAAGATGAGCAGTTTCCTAGTTGCAGAGCCCTCTCTCACATCCAGTCCAAGGCTGGTTAAGTCCCTTGACACTGCCGTTTAGGGAATACCCTGCCTCCCAAGCATCCCTGCCAGAGCACTGAGGTTAATCAGTGCTGACACAGTGCAGAGTCCTGAAGGATAACAAGCTTAGGGTGAATTTGCATGTTTTACACTAACAAAAATAAAAAAGAATTTATGCCTAAAACTAATACAGCAAAAGGAATTATGCTCTTCATGCTGTACAGAGAGGACATCTGACTTCCTATTAACCAAGCCAATTGTGCTTGCCTGTGGTAATTTATTCACCATGCACCTCTGAGAGTTGTGTTCATGGGAGAGATTTCCTTGTGCAAGGGCTGAGACAGAGCTATTTCCACAGCATGGGTGGCAGGCGTTGACACTGTGTGCAAAGCCAGACAAGTTCCTTTGCATGTACCTCTAGCAGCTGATTAATTCATATCAGTCTCCAAAATGTGGATACCTGCACAGCCAAGTAACTGTCCCAGTTATTACCCAAATGAATGATAGTTCTATGCCCCTTGATAGAGAATTGCTTCAACGTTTTACACTTTCTGCCATACCAGATAGCAAACTTTCATAAATCCCAGAGAAAAGAATCAACAAAATCAGTCAGCGATGCAGCACACTATTTCTAGAACTAAGGAGTGGCTTTGGACATCCTCTCCACAAGGGCCACAGCCTTAGTGTGAGTTTATTCACCTTATGGACTGCGTCAGGCTTTGGCTTCATTTCAGTGCATCTGTAAGATGCTTCCTTAACCTCTCCTGTGTTTTTCTTCATAGCAATCGAATGAGCTTTATCTCACCAGAAAGAGACGTTATTAATTCAGCAAGAATATTTGCCAATTCAGTTTCCGGAGAAGAGGAAGAAAGTTACATTCATATGGTAATGTCATTTTCACACAGCCATCCTTTGCTTTATTCTTCTCTGTCACATTGATGGAGAATGCAGAAGTTTGTTTTCTAAGAAAAAACGTTGAGGAGGTTTATCCTCTGCCTTCTGGTTTGGTTTTTTTTTTTTTCAAATGATGAAATGGTTTTAAACCAGAGACACTGGGACCAATTTACAGAGAGATAAGGGAAGCCCTTTTCCTGCTCAGCAGAACTCAGCTGTTCACCCACAAATGTTGCTAAGCAGTTCCAAGAAATCACAGGGATCAGCCATATTTACATGAGAACTCATTAAGACAAAGGAAATGAAATCTTTTCACCTTTTAAAAGTGTGCCTTGCAAAATCTCCTAGGAAATAGCAGAAAGCCAGTGGTGCACTTCCTAAAGAAACACACCAAATATTGTGCAGTAACAGAACTCCCATTAAAGTCTCATTGCTTCTGCTTTGGCTGGTGGCATAGCCCCAGTTCCCATCCAATGAAAGGAGAACATCTGGCTTTGTGGCTTCCTTTTTTTCATTTACTCCTTAGCCATATCTTGCAAAAGACCTGAATCTTGTTTTACTTTGAATTTTAGGTGGAAATGGATCTCAAATCCATTCATCTGAGCCAACATCTACAGATCTGCTCCATAGCCAAAGCCCAATACCAATAGCTATAAAAATATAAATAAATTGACCACAGTCTCCATGAACCATAGTTTCAAATTTTAACCCACATCTCTACCAGAGTGAAATCTGCTCAAGAGGGCAGTTTCAGTTGTAACCGTTCCCCATTTGATTTTTCTAGTCTAGGAAAACCTGACATATGTTTGTGGTTATCTGTCATTTCATGAGAATAATTTTCAGTTTCTAGATTTGAACTGAATTTTCACAATTTCTTTAAATTCATTGAATGATAATATTTAAGTGGGCACTACTGCAAATCTGAGCTTTCCAAGGGCTCAAATTAAGAAGCTGGGCACAAGTCCTTCTTGATAAAATTGAGTGTAAATCAGCCTGTTTTGTTTGTTTTGCCAGAATTATCAGAAGAAAAAGGATCTCACAGTTTCTTTATGCCATCTCACAATTATCAGTGTTATGCTGTTGTTAGTAACCAAATGCTCCCTTGGCATAGAAAATTATGTGGGCCCTGACTGTTCTCATCCATATTCTGCCAGGCGAATCTCCCAACTCACTGTTGTGATCCTGTTTCCTTCTAGGATCATGTTTTTAGAACATTAAAAGTTTTTCTTCTTTCCTGACAGGAACACAGACAGGCCACCTCTCCATACAGTGGTGTCTTTCCATGGACAAGGAAATCTAACCTTGATTACTTGGCACTGGATTTCAATTCTGCTTCCCCATCCCCTGTGCAGAAGGTACGAGTAATCTGAAAAACCCCACAGCCTCCTGTCTTTTTGTCTGCTGGGAGGAAATTGAGACTCAGGGTTGCATTCTGCTAGGTGCCTAAGTGCCATGATGAAGCCAGTCGTGTTTACAGGTGTATTTGTGTCAGGCCCAAGATTAATATGATAAAAGCATGATGAGGGTGCTGACAAGGTGTCCTTAGTGTGACTCATAGGGATGCTGCTGCCACGAGCTCAGCACAGGATATGAGACTGCACTGGGACGTGCAGCCATGAGGGCTCGTGGGCAAGCGGGTTGATGCTTGCACGATCTCTGCATGCTCCTTCATTTTCATCAAGTCTCCATAAAGCCTTTCCTGCTAGTTTTTCCCAAATCTCTTTGCAATAACAAGTTTGCAGGCCATGATAAATTCATGGGGTAAAGCTGTACTATCTCTTATAATCTGGCAAAATGTGCATCTTTATTTTTGCATCACCAAATCCATTTCAATTTCCTTTTCAATGCTGAGAAAATACATTCCTTGTTCCAAAGAACTTCTAACCTGTCCAGGTGGTGGGTAGGTACCACTGCAAAGCAATGAACTGTTGTCAGTTTGGATCGTTTTATGTCCTATGTATCATTTTCCCCATCAGCCAATACTCCCAGATGCAAAAGACTCAAGACTCTTAAGCTTTCTTATTTAAACCGTCCCTGTATCTAAAATCATTTAGGTTATTCCTGCAGCAGGATCACTCAGATGAGGAGATAATTATTATCTGCATGGAAATAGCCAGTACAGCCTGTTTCCCTTCCTTGCTGTGCTGGGCTGAGTGACAGGGTGACAGATGGATAATTACAGCTAAAGCAGGCTCTAAAGCAATGGTTTTCTGTCAGCTAATGTTACTGTGAGCTTCAAGGTGAAGTGAAGCAATCAAGGAATGAGGCAAAGGGAAAAGAGAAAATCAAGCGAAGTTTCACTAGCACCCCTTTTCAACCTGAAAATTAAAACATTGTTTTTTTCCCTCTCTGTCCCATAGAAACCTTTTCTGTCTGAGGAACAGAGAGTGGACTATGTCCAGGTAGATGAACAGAAGACTCAAGCTTTACAGAACACTAAGCAGGAATGGACAGATGAAAGACAATCAAAAGTGTAAAGAAAGAAGATTTGGGATCTGGAAGGGTTTTTTTGCACTGGAACCACAATTTTAATGAAGCAGCTCTCACAGTAGAGCTCAAAGGCAGAGAGAGTTGTAAGATGCTTCCAGTCTGTAGAGGCATTTTTACTGGAAACCTTTGGTTTCAGCTGGAAAAAGTATATTGAGTGGGTGAATGGTTCACTGATGACTAAAGTAATGCATTAGACTTCTTTCCTGCCCTTACCAGTATGCTACATGGTACCATTTTCTGGCATGATTCTGCAACAAGTCATACACTTAACGTTAACAAATCCACTACAAGTATTATTAATCTAGTTCATCCTGCCTTCTCCTTTTGTTGCATAATTCCTAGTTGCTAAAGCTATTTTTTGACATTCCTACAAATGCTGCAGCTGCTTGGAGTGCTTTTATGGCAGCAGGCATCTGACAGGTTTTGGTGACTAATCAACTAAGGGCTAAATACTGAAACAATTAAAAGAACTTTTTGAATATATAGTACTTAAACAAAGAGAATTTTGAAAAGTATTTTTCCCCGGGTTTAAAAAGTCTGGCTGTGAGCTGATGCTGTCAGAACTCAAAACAGGACTATGTACCCATGTGACTGGAATGCATGGTCTTTGACCCTCTGGATGATCGTCATTGCATTAAGCTTCTTCCCTCCATTGTGGCACATACTTGTCGTTTTTCTGTCTGATTCCTACGGATGTTTTCTCCCCTGTCTTGGGAAGTGTCTTTGGCACAGCACAGCTGCTCTTCTAGTAGGAGGCTGCAGCCACACAGTTTTGGCTGGCCAAAAATTAGAAAGGGAAGCTGTGAGCCTGTTTCTGCAAGCCTTGAGAGAACTGGCAAAGGATCAAGATTGCTTTCATCTGAACAGCAGAAGAAATGCCATTGGAATTGCTGGTAGCAGTCGTCAATCTGATTGTTTCACTAGACCCACCCCAAAATAAAAAAGAGCATTAGGAAGTGCAGCATGCTCTGAGAGAGGACAGGAGCCTGCCAAAACAGCACAGCACTGCGTTCATGCAGCATGACCTCTGGGCTCGGGAAGTTTCTCTGCCTTGGGACTTGTTACAGGCACTATCTCAGGATGACATATGTGTATAGTTTATAAGATATTTAACTTTAAACACTTGGCTGCAGTCTTTATTTTACAGTGGCACACAGCCACTTGACTCATGGAAGTAGGCAGTGATGCTGAGTAACCCTGGATTTGGTCTCACGGGTTTTGCTCCTGTAGGTGAGTCCCAATAGCCATAAGAGGTCTGATCCTGTCAACATGGACAGATAGACAGGACCCTTTAAAAAGATTTCTTCTCTGATAGTGCCAATTCACTGGCCTCCTTCCATGTGCCCGTTGTTACCACGTTACATTGCTGTAACTTGACATCCTAAAAATTCTGATCTATGAAACAGAGGTCATAGAAACGTCTTTGCAGAAACCACTGGCATTTCGAGGCTCCTGCTCAACTTCTTCCCTACACCCTGTCTGCACCAATCATTCAGGCACTCTGGGAGGCCGAGTTGCACATCCTGTGGGACAGGCAGCATAGCTATCAGAAAGTTTTCCTCCTACCTCAAGAGTGCTGAGAGGCTTGCAAGTCTCACTGTTTCTTTAGCCCAGCCTCTGGGGATCTGTGGTGACCAGGATCTCACTAGGTTACACTGCAAGAACAAGGTTCACCAGCGCCTTCACTGACTGGGACAAGCTGGGCACCCAGGCCTGTGAGCATGAAGTGTCCTGGAGCAGAGCTGCTTGGAAAACCAGGGTTAGTCCTGCAGATAGCTGACCTGCTGTTCCCTCCTACTCTGCTCCTCCCCCCTCCTCACCAAAGCTCTCAAATGAAAATTGATGTTCATAAAATTTTGAAGATAACTCCAACTTTTCCATATGTATCTTGTCTGTCTGGTGTGAAATTTACCTTGTTAAAACCCAGCTATTTTGTCCTCTAACTGATTTAACAGAGCTGTGAGTACCCATGCCCTGGGAGTGATATTGTGACAGGGGCAGGGCATCTGGGGAGAGGCAGTGGAGATCTGCACCTGCACAGAGGTGGCAGAGAGAGGGAAGCATAGAAGGGCCATGGATACTGAGACCTTTGCCTTTCTGCTCAAAATAATTTCAAAGTGTGCAAATAACACGTGTTGCTGAAAGCTCTTGGTATGCGCTGACGTACTGAAGGGGTTAGAAGACCAGCTAAAAAGTGTTTTAAATTACAGAGGGACAACCTCCACAAAGGGTGAGTGAACTTATGTTCAGATACTGCAGATCCCAGATTGTGGAGTGATGGCAGGGCAGCCTCTGATGCGGATCAGAATCACATACAGATCAACTCGTGTTTGACTGGTGTGCTTCCTTTCATGCTGTCAGAAAATCTTCTGAAGTGGAAAACCACCAAGTTATTGAAGAAAACTGACTCACCTGGTATTCTAGTTCACTGTAAAAATATTTAAACTTCAACAAGCCTGGTTAACAGATCGTTCAGAAGTTTAGAGAAAAAAGAGCTGTATTGGGATTTTTACTCCCTTAAAGGACATAAGCTTATAGCTTGGCAAGATCAGAGTGGCCCCTTTCAACTTCCTGTGTCCTCTTCTTGCCCTCACAACACTCTTACCTTGATCAAATGCTGCTCACTGGTTTCTAACTTTCACTTTTAACTAAGAGCTAAGTTTGAGGATTTATTTTGATTTTTCACGTAACATCTGTTTTTACCAGCTGCTCCAGGGCCCGTGACATACATTCTTGTGCAAGTAAAATACATGAAGCAGGAGCAATTAAAAAATACCAGGGGAAAAAAATTAAAAGCAGAGCAGTACTTCTCAAAAGCTTTTTTTTTCCTTTTGTTTTAGTCAAATTCCACAATACTTCAAAGAGGGTAAAGAGGAGGAGGATGGTGGGAGAATGGCAAAGGCCAAATCTGCAGTGGTCACCTCATCACTAAGGATTTGGGTGTGAAGGGAGCTACAGCAGCCACGACTGCCACGACTGTGGGCCAGTACCCATAAAGTCAACAGGTGCGAGTGGAGGAGCGTTACAGAGCAAAAAGGAGTTACTGTTTAGTTAAGTCTGTTCTTAAATCCTAATCCCTTGGCCAAAGAGGAAAGAAAACCTGAAAACTGAGTCAGCTTTTGACAGTGTCATGTCTGAAAATATACCCCAGGCCAGAGCCCTTGGTTAGTGTTGGTACTAGGGCCAGCCAGGCACACTCCTGTTGGTGTCCTCTTTTTGCTATGAGTCTGTTATTTGCATGTGTTTTTTTTCAAAAGTGTGGTGTGGTGAGAGCTGATGCAGAGAGACACCCTGCACCTAAATGAGCATCGAGAGGTCCCTTAGCAAACTCTGCTGAGGGAATTGGCATTGCCCCGCCCAGGTATTGTAGTGCCTTCTCCAGCCCTGCTCCCTGTTAAAAATGGGGAGAGCGCTAAACAAGCAGAACAGCTTTAGTTCAATTGGAAATGTCTGGATCAAGCTTGCTTGCAGGAGGACATGGAAAACAAGCAAGCTCAATGGTTTGAGTTGTGTGGTTATTGTTGGGGCCCTCAGCTGGTTCTCACCACTGATGTGTTTAATATGGCCTTACTCTCTCCTTCAATCACCACACATTTGACCAAGGCATAGCAGGTCCACAACTCATTTGCTTTTTGGACTAAACTACATTTTACATTTATAATTCCTTTATGACAGGAGGCAGCATTAATTTCCTTACTGGCAGAAATGAGCACTTAACCTGAGAAATGCCAGCAGCCATGTAACTGGAGCAAGGTCTTTTCAGCCAGCTCACTTTGCCAGTGGTAGCACCTGCTTTCTTCATTGTCACTAACTACATCCTAGATGTAGATTTTTGAGTTGTATTCACTTGCAGTGATTCAGAAGT